TCAACACCAGGAGTGTGTGTGATTACGTGTGTGTGTGTGTGTGTGTGTGTGTGTGTGTGTGTGTGTGTGTGTGTGTGTGTGTATCTGTGTGTGTCTGTGTTAATGTGTCTGTGTGTGTGTGTGTGTGTGTGTGTGTGTGTGTGTGTGTGTGTGTGTGTGTGTGTGTGTGTGTGTTTGAGTCTGTGTGTCTGTGTTAATGTGTCTGTGTGTGTGTGTGTGTGTGTGTGTGTGTGTGTGTGTGTGTGTGTGTGTGTGTGTGTGTTCTTTATGACACATGATGACATATCATCAATACTTGTGGTCGATATTTAAACTCGGTCAATTATGAAAATGAATCAGCGTCAATATTTCCTTCAGTAACAAGCTGATGCTCTCTGACACGTCAATACTTCCTGCTTTCTGGACCAAGCACACGTCGCAGTGTCGTGTGTGTGTGTGTGTGTGTGTGTGTGTGTGTGTCTGTGTGTCAGTACGTGTGTTTGTGAGTGGCCAGATATGAAGTAAAGGTTTACTGTTACTATGGCAACAAGCAATACAAAGATGGTTGACTACAGATGACACTTTAAACAGAACCAGAACAAACCCAGAGTTCAGATGAGGTCATACAGAGGTTAATAAACTCAGCTGCAGTTACTGATTATCACCAGAGGGGGTGCCACCAAGACACAAACTGATCTTTAGAGAGTGTGTGGTCTGGAGGCGAGCTCTGGAGTCACCTGTTCACAGAGAGAGAGGCCAAGTGAGAGATCTTCACATTTATGATCATCTAAAGGTCTCATTATGTAGTGATGTCACACACTAAGAATAACAACCGGAGCCTGTCAGGGACAAAAAGGACGACTTTGAGTGGACACAATTTGATCTATCAATGTTGATTGAAGGATTATGTTGATTGATTGTTGATTTGATGTTGATTGTTTGTTGATTGGAGGATGATGTTGATTGATTGTTGATTGGATGATGATGATGTTGATTGATTGTTGATTGATTGTTGATTGGAGGATGATGTTGATTGATTGTTGATTGATTGTTGATTGGATGATGATGATGTTGATTGATTGTTGATTGATTGTTGATTGGATGATGATGATGTTGATTGATTGTTGATTGATTGTTGATTGGATGATGATGATGTTGATTGATTGTTGATTGGATGTTGATTGATTGTTGATTGGAGGATGATGTTGATTGATTGTTGATTGGAGGATGAGGTTGATTGATTGTTGATTGGAGGATGATGTTGATTGATTGTTGATTGGAGGATGAGGTTGATTGATTGTTGATTGGATGTTGATTGATTGTTGATTGGAGGTTGATGTTGATTGATTGTTGATTGGAGGATGAGGTTGATTGATTGTTGATTGGATGATGATGTTGATTGATTGGATGATGATGTTGATTGATTGTTGATTGGAGGATGATGTTGATTAATTGTTGATTTGATGTTGATTGATTGTTGATTGGAGGATGATGTTGATTGATTGTTGATTGGAGGATGATTGTTTGTTGATTGGAGAATGAGGTTGATTGATTGTTGATTGGATGTTGATTGGAGGATGATGTCGATTGATTGTTGATTGGAGGATGATTGTTTGTTGATTGGAGAATGAGGTTGATTGATTGTTGATTGGAGGATGATGTTGATTGATTTTTGATTGGAGGATGATGTTGATTGATCGTTGATTGGAGGATGATGTTTATTGATTATTGAATGGATGATGATTGTTGATTGGAGGATGATGTTGATTGATTGTTGATTGGATGTTGATTGATTGTTGATTGGAGGATGATGTTGATTGATTGTTGATTGGAGGATGATGTTTATTGATTATTGAATGGATGATGATTGTTGATTGGAGGATGATGTTGATTGATCTGAAGGTGTTTCCTGTGCTTGCAGACACATTGAGAACTGGACGGGTCTGCAGACGTTAAGAGACATGGACATGGAGCTGTACACGGGTCTGCAGAGACTGTGAGTCACAACACAATGAAACACACAAATATATAAATACATATAAAGAAATAACATACAAATATGTTTCTACTGTTTCTCATCACACTGACGTCACTTTGTGTTTCTCAGACGTAGAAAAATGATCTTAACACCACAACAGTGGAATATAAACAAGTTCAGAAATGAGAATAAGAAACATGGAAGTTAGTTCAGTTCATAGAAAATACACAGCTGTGTGTGTATTCACTGTGTGTGTGTGTGTGTGTGTGTGTGTGTGTGTGTGTGTGTGTGTGTACTTGTGTATTTCAGAACTATTACAAGGAGTAACCTGCACACGATACAAGCTCGAGTTTTTTCCAAGAACCCCCAACTACGCTACATGTGAGTACACGTGAAACCGTCAAATCAGCTGTGTGTCTGCGGAGTGTGTGTGTGTCTGTGTCTGTGGTGTGTGTGTGTGTCTGCGATGTGTGTGTGTGTGTGTGTGTGTGTGTGTGTCTGCGATGTGTGTGTGTGTGTGTGTGTGTGTGTGTGTGGAATCTTGTCTAAAAGTGTGTGTAGTGGAAAAAGTCAGCAAACACATGCACATCCCTTATTCCAGTGCTGAGTTGTTAAAAACCACTAGATATGATAAATAGGTACATCATGGGGTAAACTGGTTAAGTCATTTTGTTGCAAAGCTGCAGAGAAACAGCACACAGCCAAAGGGAGAGGCAGACAGGAAGAAGGACTGCTGGGGCAGAGCTGGAGGTCAGAGGTCAGGTCAAGGATCTAACAAAGAAGACAGGTCGTAGGCAAGAAGGGTTGGTAACAGAGAAACAGGCCTAGAGGGAGTAATGTCACCTGTTCACCTGTTCACACCTGTTCACCTGTTCACACCTGTTTTCACCTGTTCACACCTGTTTTCACCTGTTCACACCTGTTCACCTGTTCCCACCTGTTTACCTGTTCACACCTGTTTTCACCTGTTCACCTGTTTACCTGTTCACACCTGTTTTCACCTGTTCACACCTGTTTACCTGTTCCCAACCGGTTCCCTACCTTTTTTGTCTCTGTTTCCCAGAAATCTGTCGAAGAATCCGATCTCCACGCTGTCCTGGCAGATCTTTGAACACCTGCAGCTCTCTGAACTGTGAGATTTATTTTCCCCTCATATGATACACACACACACACACACACACACACACACACACACACATGCATGGAAATATTTCTGTAGAATCAGACGGCTGCTGTCCGTGGTGCTGAATCCTCTGAGCTCATATCTTACAACAGAAAACTTCCTTTAATTAGTTCATCTGATGACTTTTCATCTTCATCCATAAAAATCAACTTCTTCAACTGTGTCGCTTCTGTTTGGACTGAACTGAGAGAGGAGGAAGAGAGAGAAAGGACACCTTTAAGAGTTCAATTCAAAAGGCTAGGGTGACATTAACAGTAAAACATTCATTGCCTGTAACAGAGAAAATGTGAGGCGTCACAGCAAGCTTTTTGACAAACGTTGTCAACAAACGTCTTCACAACAAACTGTCCAGATTATCTGAGGGAAACATTTTAAAACAGGAGAGATTGTTTTTAAGATCATTAATGAAGATTTGATTTCTCTGCCTGTAGTTAAACAGGGAGCAGGTGAGGACATGTTCATGATAAGAACTTTCTGAGCTCACTGCAGATATATTAAAATAGGTACTGAGGTTTCTGTCCTCAGGCTGCTCCTCTTCGTGACTCTGAGTCTCAGTCCAAGTTTTTAATCCAGCTGCCAAACTCAGTCAACTTGAACCTTTTAAAATCTCATGAAAAAGTAAAACACAGCTTTGATCAAAAAGGAACGAAGCAAATATCATGAGAAATCATCGAGACATCACTGAGAAATCATCTTGATATCACCGAAACATCACTGAGAAATAATCTAGACATCACCGAGACATCACTGAGAAATCATGGAGACATCACCGAGACATCACTGAGAAATCATGAAGACATCACCGAGACATCACCGAGACATCACTGACAAATCATCAAGAAATCATTGAGACATCACCGAGACATCACTGGGAAATCATGGAGACATCACCAAGACATCACCGAGACATCACTGACAAATCATCAAGAAATCATTGAGACATCACCGAGACATCACTGGGAAATCATGGAGACATCACCAAGACATCACTGGGAAATCATGGAGACATCACAGAGACATCACCGAGACATCACTGACAAATCATCAAGAAATCATGGAGACATCACCGAGACATCACTGGGAAATCATGGAGACATCACTGAGACATCACCGGGAAATCATGGAGATATCACCAAGACATCACTGACAAATCATCAAGAAATCATTGAGACATCACCGAGAGATCACTGAGAAACCCATCGATTCCTGACTACGCTCTAGCTAACCAGCTGGGCGCTTAATCTTACATTACTGAGAAATCATCTAGACATCACCGAGACATCACAGAGAAATCATCTAGACATCACAGAGACATCACTGAGAAATCATGGAGACATCACCAAGACATCACTGAGAAATCATCTAGACATCACCGAGACATCACAGAGAAATCATCTGGACATCACAGAGACATTACTGAGAAATCATGGAGACATCACCGAGACATCACCGAGACATCACCGAGACATCACTGAGAAATCATGGAGACATCACCGAGACATCACTGAGAAATCATGGAAAAATCATGGAGACATCACTGAGACATCACTGACAAATCATCGAGAAATCATGGAGACATCACAGAGAGATTACTGAAAAATCATGAAGACATCACAGAGACATCACTGAGAAATCATTGAGAAATCATTAAGACATCACCGAGACATCACTGAGAAATCATCGAGAAATCATTGAGACATCACCGAGAGTTCACTGAGAAATCATTGAGACTTCACCGAGAAATCATCGAGACATCACCGAGACATCACTGAGAAACCCATCGATTCCTGACTACGCAGTAGCTAACCAGCTGGGCGCTTAATCTTCCGACAGGACAGAATGTTGGAATCGGGTAAAAACCAAGGGAGGTGGTGTTTGTATCATGGTAAACAGTCTGTTGTGCTTGGATGTGAAAATAATTTCTTCGGGATGTTCCACTTATTCAGAGCACATTATGATAGCCTGTTCTTTCTACCACGGGAATTTACAGAAGTCATTTTAATAGCCGTTTATATTCCACCACAAGCCGACACCTCAGGAGCACTGGACGAGCTGTATGGAATTATCGACAGGCATGAGACCTCACGCCCGGAGGCTGCTTTCATAGTAGCCTGCGATTTCAACCGAGCCAACTTGAGGAAAGTAATAATAATAATAATAATAATAATAATAATAATGCATTTTATTTATAAGCGCTTTTAAAAACTCAAAGACACTTTACAATGGTTAAAACATAAAGAATAGCACAGAAGGACAGACTAACGGACATTGCAGCATTACACACAAATCATAAAGATAACAACAATAAAGATAACAACATAAAGGTAAACAACAGAAAACAGGAAATACATCACAATCATACATTAAAAGCTTGTTTAAAGAGGTGAGTTTTGATAAGTGATTTGAAAGTAGGAGGGTCGGTGCAGCGTTGAATGTGTGTGGGGAGTGAGTTCCAGAGGGAGGGGGCAGCTATGGAGAAGGCTCTGTCCCCCCCAGGTTCGGTGCTTGGCTCTAAGAGGGGGAGATAGGAGGTTGGCTTTTGAAGAACGGAGGCTGCGTGCAGGAGTGTGAGGGTGAAGGAGAACCGTGAGGTAGGAGGGGGCCTGGTGATTAAGGGCTTTATGTGTGAGGAGAAGGATTTTGAATTGGATACGGTTGATCCAGACAGAAGGAGAGTGTGTTGTTATAGTAGGTGATGAGTTCAGAGGGGGTTATTAAATTGGGAGGGAGGGTAGGAAGAGATTTTGCTGGTAATAGAGGTTGAGAGAGCTGAGGGGTCGACGGGATTTTATGTTTCTGAAGGAGATCTTTCGTTTTTGTTTTGGAGTGGGAAGAGGGATGAGAATGTCCATGTTTATAGCCAGATGGTCGGAGATGTTGAGGTTGAGACTTGACAGTTGATGGATTGTGAGACCAGTGGAGCAGACCAAATCCAGAATGTGGCCGCGGCTGTGAGTGGGGAAGTTGACATGCTGTGTGAAGTTGAGGCAGTGAAGAAGGTCCAGGAATTCTTTGGCAGTTTTACATTGAGTGTCGTCGACGTGGAAGTTAAAATCCCCAAGGAGCAGAACAGAAGTTGAGATGGAGCAGAGTTGGGTCAGAAAGTCATGAAAATCACTGAAAAAAGAAGGGTTTGGTTTGGGGAGGCAATAGATTACAGCAGTGACTAGGGGAGTGGGACCAAAGAGTTTGAAAGCAATGTGTTCAAATGAGTCAAATGCAGGGATGGGAATGGTGGTAGTTTTAATGTCCTTCCTGTAAATGGCTGCAACACCACCACCCCGTCCATCGGGGCGGGGTTTGTCCATGTATGTGTATCCTGTGGGTGTGGTTTGGTTTAGTGAGAAATAGTCCATGGGTTTTTGCCAGGTTTCGGTGAGACATAGGAAGTCCAGGTTGGTGTCGGTTATGAAGTCATGGAGAATGAGGCTTTTATTGTTGAGGGAGCGAGTATTCAGCAAGGCCAGTTTCAGGTTATGATGTGGTGTTATACGGAGTGAAGGGTGAGGGAGTGGCTGACAGGGGATGGTTGACAAATTTGAAAAATTGACAGATTTAGTGATTTTGTTTTTATTTGGATGCCTTCTTGTAATGAGAGTTTCTATTGCAGACAATGTCAGTGAATGTGGGAACGAGGGATGAGGCCAGTGGGTGGAGCTGTTGATCACAGAGAGAGCTGGGAGGATGGAGGAGCAGACCTTTGGACGGTAGGGTGGGCTGGTGGGGGAAACAGTTGGGTGTGCTGGAACCATAGAGGAAGATTGGGAATCGGCTGTATTGATGTCGTCATTTACTGCCGAGATTCCACCAGCAAGTTAGTTTTCCAATGAGAGGCAACATCACGCTGGATTGTGTTTACACTCTCTTCCGGGAAGGATACAAGTCCCTCCCCCGACCTGCGTTTGGCAAATCAGATCGCTCCTCCGTTCTACTGATCCCTGCCTACAGTTTCAATTCAATTTTCAATTTCAATTTATTTGTATAGCGTCAACTCATAACAAGTTTATCTCAAGACACTTTACAAAAAGCAGGTAAAATACCTTACTCTTTGTTAACATTACAAAAGAGCAGGTAAAAAGACCTTACTCATTGTTATGTTACAAAAAGCAGGTAAAAGACCTTACTTATTGCTATGTTACAAAGATCCGGCCTGTCCATCATGAGCACTTTAGCAAAGCAGCAAAAGTTACAGTGGTAAGAAAAAACTGCGTGTACTGAATGTCCAGAGGAGCACATTCCTGAGAATGCTATTCATTGACTATAGCTCAGCATTCAACACCATAGTGCCCTCTAACATTATCACCAAGCTCAGGGACCTGGGACTGAACACAGCTGGATAGGGTGAGGATGGGCAACAACACCTCCTCCACTCTAACTCTCAGTACTGGAGCACCGCAGGGCTGCGTGCTCAGCCCCCTCCTGTACTCGCTGTTCACGCACGACTGCGTGGCCACACACTGCTCAAATACAATAATCAAGTTTGCTGACAACACCACAGTCATCGGCCTGATCTCTGACAACGACGAGACAGCCTACAGGGAGGAGGTGAGGGCCTTGTCAACATGGTGCCATGACAACAACCTCCATCTCAACGTCAGCAAAACAAAGGAGCTCATAGTGGACTATAGGAAGCTGCAGGGAGGAGAGCACACCCCCATCTACAGAGATGGGGCTGCAGTAGAGCGAGTCAGTAGCTTCAGGTTCCTTGGGGTACACATCACCGAGGACCTGTCCTGGTCACACCATACTGACATTGTTGTTAAGGCAGCGAGACAACGGCTCTTCTTCCTCCGCAGACTGAAGAGGTTCGGTATGGACTCCAGGATACTCTGCAACTTTTACCGATGCACCATCGAGAGTATCCTGACTGGCTGCATCACCACCTGGTATGGAAATTGCAACGACCGCGACCGCAAAGCTCTGCAGAGGGTCGTGAAAACTGATTGAGTTATGTTGTGCATTTGACTAATAAAGATAACTTGAACTTGAACTTGAAATCATCGAAACATCACCGAGACATCACTTAGAAATCATCTCGATATCACCGAGACATAACTGAGAAATCATGGAGACATCACTGAGAAATCACCGAGACATCACCGAGACATCACTGAAAAATCATGGAGACATCACCGAGACATCATCGACATATCATCGAGAAATCACCGAGACATCACAGAGAAATCATCTAGACATCACAGAGACATTACTGAGAAATCATCGAGACATCACCGAGACATCACTGAGAAATCATCTAGACATCACAGAGACATTACTGAGAAATCATGGAGACATCACCGAGACATCACTGAGACATCACCGAGACATCACTGAGAAATCATGGAGACATCACAGAGACATTACTGAGAAATCATGGAGACATCACCGACACATCACCGACACATCACCGAGACATCACAGAGACATCACCGACACATCACAGACACATCACCGACACATCACAGAGACATCACAGAGACATCACAGAGACATCACCGAGACATCACCGAGACATCACAGAGACATCACCGACACATCCCCGACACATCACCGAGACATCACAGAGACATCACCGACACATCCCCGACACATCACCGAGACATCACAGAGACATCACAGAGACATCACCGACACATCACCGACACATCACAGAGACATCACAGAGACATCACCGAGACATCACAGAGACATCACAGAGACATCACAGAGACATCACCGACACATCACCGACACATCACAGAGACATCACAGACACATCACCGAGACATCACAGAGACATCACAGAGACATCACAGAGACATCACAGAGACATCACCGACACATCACAGAGACATCACAGAGACATCACCGACACATCACCGACACATCACCGACACATCACAGAGACATCACCGACACATCACCGACACATCACCGACACATCACAGAGACATCACAGAGACATCACCGACACATCACCGACACATCACCGACACATCACAGAGACATCACAGAGACATCACCGACACATCACCGAGACATCACCGACACATCACAGAGACATCACCGACACATCACCGACACATCACCGACACATCACCGAGACATCACCGACACATCACAGAGACATCACAGAGACATCACAGAGACATCACAGAGACATCACCGACACATCACAGAGACATCACCGACACATCACAGAGACATCACAGAGACATCACAGAGACATCACCGACACATCACAGAGACATCACAGAGACATCACAGAGACATCACAGAGATATCACAGAGACATCACTGAGACATCACCGACACATCACAGAGACATCACAGAGACATCACTGACACATCACCGACACATCACCGAGACATCACCGAGACATCACAGAGACATCACAGAGACATCACAGAGACATCACTGACACATCACCGACACATCACCGAGACATCACAGAGACATCACAGAGACATCACAGAGACATCACAGAGACATCACAGAGACATCACTGAGAAATCATCGATACATCACTGACAAATTATTGAGAAATCACAGACAACACATCCACCTGTACACACACTTTACACACATAAACACACACCTGCTGTGGTCAACACAATAATCACAGTCTGACAATCTCTCTGACCAAGTGTGTGTGACTGTGTGTGTACTAAGCTGATTCTGTTGAGGGTTAGGAGTCCCTCATTATATTCCCTAGCAACTGTTACTGGGGAGCTCAGTGTTATCTGACGTCACACACACACACACACACACACACACACACACACACACACACACACACACAGACAAAGGTGAGTGTGACTCAGATCAGACCTCTGTGTGCGTGTGTGTGTGTGTCTGCAGTCACCTAGAGGAGGTGGTGTTTACCTGTGGCTGTGAGATCCGCTGGCTGCAGCTATGGCAACAGAGAGGGGAGGCGGGGCTTAGCAACCAGCAGTTGTACTGTGCTGATAACATCACGAGGATCCCTCTGCAGGATATGAACATCAGCAGCTGTGGTGAGTTAGCACACACACGTACACACGCACACTGACACACACACACACACACACACACACACACACACACATAGTGCAGCTGTATAAGGCAGCTGTGATTTCCGTCCTGTGTTTGTCAGTGTACCTCTTCAGACAGTTTTTAAGTCTGAGGACTGTTTCACAACAGAGGAGGGGATGGGCATAATGAAGCTCATGGTTATGACATCACAGGTCCAGGTGTCCAGATACCTTTAACCATGCAGAGTTAATCACAGAGTAGTTTCAGGTTTGGTAAGTTTTCACTTTTAGAGCAATAGAGTTCTAATCACATTTTTATTTGATCTTTGTGTTCAAAATATCAGATTTAGTAATAAGATCAGAAAATTAATATTCAAGTTATTCAAGTGAACTTAAACCACCTGAACAGTCTGGAGTTTACCTTAAACCACCTGAACAGTCTGGAGTTTAAATTAAGCACCTGAACAGTCTGGAGTTTAAATTAACCACCTGAACAGTCTGGAGTTTACCTTAAACCACCTGAACAGTCTGGAGTTTACCTTAAACCACCTGAACAGTCTGGAGTTTACCTTAAACCACCTGAACAGTCTGGAGTTTACCTTAACCACCTGAACAGTCTGGAGTTTAAATTAAGCACCTGAACAGTCTGGAGTTTAAATTAAGCACCTGAACAGTCTGGAGTTTACCTTAAACCACCTGAACAGTCTGGAGTTTACCTTAAACCACCTGAACAGTCTGGAGTTTAAATTAAGCACCTGAACAGTCTGGAGTTTAAATTAAGCACCTGAACAGTCTGGAGTTTACCTTAAACCACCTGAACAGTCTGGAGTTCACCTTGAACCACCTGAACAGTCTGGAGTTTACCTTAAACCACCTGAACAGTCTGGAGTTCACCTTGAACCACCTGAACAGTCTGGAGTTCACCTTGAACCACTTGAACAGTCTGGAGTTTACCTTAAACCACCTGAACAGTCTGGAGTTCACCTTGAACCACCTGAACAGTCTGGAGTTCACCTTGAACCACTTGAACAGTCTGGAGTTCTCCTTAAACCACCTGAACAGTCTGGAGTTCTCCTTAAACCACCTGAACAGTCTGGAGTTCTCCTTAAACCACCTGAACAGTCTGGAGTTTAAATTAAGCACCTGATAGTTCCATCAGCAGGCGAAGGGGCTTTAATCAGTGATCAGTTGCACCTGTTCAGGTAACCACATGTAGTCTCTTGACCTCAGAACCTCAGAACCTCAGAAACTCAGAAACTCAGGTCTTCAGGTCCTCAGGTCCTCAGATCCTCAGATCTTCAGGTCTTCAGGTCCTCAGGTCCTCAGATCCTCAGGTCCTCAGATCCTCAGATCCTCAGGTCTTCAGGTCTTCAGGTTCTCAGGTCCTCAGATCCTCAGATCCTCAGGTCTACAGGTCCTCAGGTCCTCAGGTCCTCAGGTCTTCAGAACCTCAGAACCTCATATCCTCTGATCCTCAGATCCTCGGGTCCTCAGATCCTCAGGTCCTCAGGTCCTCAGATCCTCAGGTCCTCAGGTCCTCAGGTCCTCAGGTCCTCAGATCTTCAGGTCTTCAGGTCCTCAGGTCCTCAGGTCCTCAGAACCTCAGAAACTCAGGTCCTCAGTTCCTCAGTTCCTCAGATCCTCAGATCCTCAGATCCTCAGGTCTTCAGGTCCTCAGAACCTCAGAAACTCAGGTCCTCAGTTCCTCAGTTCCTCAGATCCTCAGATCCTCAGGTCCTCAGATCCTCAGATCCTCAGATCCTCAGGTCCTCAGATCCTCAGAAACTCACTTTGATGGATGATTCTGAGAGATTTGTAGATTTGTTATACTCTTCTTCCCCCCCTCTCTCTCTCTCTCTGCCCCCCCCCCCCCGTCTCTCAGACCTGCCTGACATCAGTGTGAGTCACAGTAACCTCACGGTGATCGAGGGGGATCGTGTGACGGCAATCTGTAACGGCTCGGGATCCCCTTTACCTGAGGTGGACTGGCCGATTAACGGCCTGCACTCAGCACACACACAGCAGGTACACACACACACACACACACACACACACACACACACACACACACACACACACACACGATGTGTGTACATCTCAATGTGTTAGCTGACTTAAATACAAACATTTTACTTGAATGTGTGTGTGTTTGTGTGTGTGTGTGTGTGTGTGTGTGTGTGTGTGTGTGTGTGTGTGTGTGTGTGTGTGTGTGTGTGTGTGCGTGCGTGCAGGCCAAAGTGTACGAAAACAACACAATCCACTCCATCAACTTCACTCTCTTCAACGTCAGCAGAGAAGACAACAACATTCTGTTAACCTGCACAGCGACCAACGTGGTCGGTATGACCAACGCCTCAGTACAGCTCA